TCCTGCTGACAGCAAGGATTCATGCCTCACAGGCTCTGAATGGTCAGTGTTGAAAAGTGCAGAAGTATGTAGTAATGATTATTTGATTGACAGAAAATGAACCAACAGTTATTTTGATTGAATTTCAATTAATCATTTGAGTCAGTTTTCAAGTTGAAATGTCAGTATGTTTCTCATTTTTCAAAAGTTTGACATTTTCCTTGTCTTATATTGTAATAAACCAAATCTCCCTGAGTTTAGGACTGGTGGTCAACAAGACAAACAAATAAATGAAATTAATGACAGAGGTGCAGGACCCTGAGCATCTTTCACTGTTCTCTGGTGTTGTGTAGACCAGACAATCAACCAGTAATGAAACCTATAATTGGCTCCAGCCCCATTTGCAGTACTTAACAAACCAGTAGTGTATGCCACAGTTTGGTACCTTTTTTGATTAGCCGTGGGTCAAATTTCATTTCATTCTTAGCTGTTTTTCTGTAGAGTGAAGTGTCACTCAGTTTGCAGGGAGCGCAGTTTTTCCACTTTCACGAAAGCAGGCGGCTGACAGTTTGGTAGTGTTCAACTAGTGCATTTTAGTCCAGCTTTAGCAACACCAAGATCTAGAATACTGGCATTATTTTGAAAAGATGTTTGTGTACGGTCTGTTTAATGCTAGTATGTGTCAAACACAGTGTACCTGATTTGGGTTAGTGAATCATTTACAGTGTGACAGAAGGGTGGGGGCTTTCTCTGAAAAGCTAGATACATCTGTCAATTTCCAAAATTGTAGGTAGCCTACTTAGTAGGGGTGTGATGAGATCTTGCAATATTAAAACGTGACCATATCTCACATCAAGGCAAAAGCTGTCTCTCGATATCAGTACGGTATTGGTTTTTCTTTTTATTGTTTCCTCTTCTTTCCTTTTAACTGTTTTTATTGTTTTAATTTATTTTTAGTTTTTGAACTTGGACCTTGAGTCTATAATAAAGTGTCATTCATTCATTCATTCAGTACATAACAGAACCAGGCCAGTATGACGAGTGTGGCTATACATTCACATTAGTCCGGTAAAAACACAACTCCCTGCTGTGTTTTAACACATAGAGCTGCGTTGGTCAGGGCGTGAGGGGTCGCAGGGTGGTTGTTGTCGGCGTGTACAATACAGCCACCTTGTGACAAGTTGATGTGAGTGGCTTATTATTTGGTGACTCAGATCTGTGTCAAGTATCAGATTCTTTGGATTTTCAAGATTATTTAGTCTTGTTCAATGAGATAGTTCCTGAATCATGAGCCTTTTTCATTTCTATACCTTTTTTTTTAAGCCAAAGTTCTTTAACACAGGTACACTGAGCAGTGTTTCAAAGAACCACAATGAGACACAACTCCATCTACAGAAATATGAGAATGACTACCAACAACATCTGAGTCATGTCTGTGTCTGAGAGTTCTGTTTCACCTGCACAAAATATTAGTGAAAAAAAAAACACAAAATGAAGTTTAGCACTATTTCAGTCCAGGGTCTTGGTCAGGGGCCCATTGTCTCACAGTCTGTCCTTGGCTGATGGTAGATTCAGTCTTCTTGTCTAACTCAGCAAGAAAGAAAACATGTTGACCTATTTCTTTACAACTCTCATTACATCTAGCCACATAGAGGGAATCATGTCCAAGTCACCTGAAGTATCCAGCTTGGTCAGGTTGACTGTTTTTGCTTGTGCCATGCAGATAACGCAGTGTGCCAACAGTCTGCTTATTCTTGCTCTTACAGCGGGCTCCGCCTCCAAGGCCGCCTCTCTGCACTGGACAGCAGAGCGAGTGCTGAGCATCTTGTTGCTGGCCATGGCACCTGTAGCCTATTATAACCCCGGTCCTGTCATGGACTATTCTCTGGCTGCTGCCCTGACTCTGCATGGCCACTGGTAAGACAAGGGAATGCCAACATGTACCCTGGTTCCTTTAGTCCTGAGTCCTGGTAGATGCATACATGTGAAGGGTTTCATATTCATACCCACATTCCAGTTCTGAACCAGATCATGTCTCTAACTATTTATTCCTGGAAGGGAGGAATGGTTTACGAATGAACATCTCCACTCAGTCAAAAGATTTAACATGTTTGCTGATCCTTACTGGACAAAAGAGCAACCTCTGTGACACCAGTCTCTAACCTAGGTTATTACTGTGAATTACTGTTCAATTTGTTGATGGGTGTTGTAGTGTTTGCAACCATCTGCTATAGCAGACTAAAGGACAAAACATGATTTTTCTGAAATCTAGTTAAAACAGTTGAAGGGGCAGAGGAGAGTTCTAGAACCAGAGCCCACTCAGCCCACACTATCAGCTGTGAACAGTTTTGCCTTGGTTGAAGAACACATATTGCTACCTAAATAATTTGACTTTAATTTTGAAAACCAGCTCTGTCTCTCTTCACTGACTGCTTGCCTTTTTTCTGTTTGCGTAGGGGTATTGGGCAGGTGTTAACAGACTACGTTCATGGAGACACAAAAATCAAGATTGCCAAAGCAGGTCTCTTCCTCCTGTCCACAGTCACTTTCTCTGGTCTTTGCTACTTCAACTATAATGACGTTGGCATCTGCAAAGCCATTGCCATGCTCTGGAGCAAATAAATCTGACTGGACTGAACCTAGACACTGGCATGGAAGCACACTCATCCTGGCTGATTGTAAAAGCTCAAGGTGTGTGTGTGTGTGTGTGTGTGTGTGTAAAATCTTCTATCATTTGGATATTATTACAGTGATTCACAGGTGTGTAAATTAATGTTGAGCAATTCAGGCTTGGCCTTGATCAGTTTAGTTACATTAATGATTAAGCAACTGGCCTCCATTTTCTGACATGTGGGAGATGAGCTGGGATTTATGTTCAGCCTGGACTAAATTTAAATGGCAGCCCTATGTAGATTTTGATCCCAAGCAACAACATTTGCAAGTATGAAATGTCACTACCACTTGAACAGACATTGACTGGGGACTGTTTCAACAAAGCAACTATAGCAGGTAGTAGTAATAGTGTCCTTTGACATCTAATTGAATTTTTCTCCTTTTTTGCGCTTGTCTTAAATGTACTTTTTTTTAATGACAGTGTGTACATGCTATCTTTTGCTCTTAAACCCATCAGGAATAACAGGGCAGCATGACACATCTGAGCAGTGAGCGTTCACGTCGCCTCTGATTTCACGTCGCCTCTGATTTCACCCCATTTACCAGTGACTGACAAGGTCCACTTACCATTTTGTTTTCTGTAATAGCCTTGTCATAGCTGTCGGCTTGTACTGTTGTATCTTGTCTGTCAGGAGCGAATGCTGTTTAACTCCAAGGCAGAGGTTGTATTTTTAAATTTCTACCTTCAGTCAAGTGTGCAGTTCTGTGGTTTATGCAAAGGGGAGTGAGAAGTCAAAAAGCAGACTGCGTTTGTGTGTGTGAGTACTGCAGCGCTATTGAACTTTCATTAAAGTTAAGGGAGGCTGAATCCAAAACGTCCAGCAACACTCAGTCCCAGTGTGCAGCAGTGGCTAATATGTCTGACAGCATACAGACACTTGTCAGCTAACGGTGTAAATCAAAATGTTATGTCAGTAAACAGCTGACCAAGACCGTATCAGTGTCAATGTGAACACCTCTGTGACACTGAGTTGTATTGTTTAGGAATGACAAACTCCTTCACTGTGAGTGGGAACTTCAAATTGAAAAAGGGAGGCATTTTGAAATTTTGGAAAATTTATTCATTGTATATATTTGGTGTACACTGCATGCATCTGTTGATTAGCATTACAGGTTGTGTTCATCACTGAGTACTGGATTCACTCTGCTGAAGCAATGCTCCTGCAGTAAATGTTTGAGCACTCATGTTTGCTGTTGGTGTCTACATGAATCTGTAATATGAAGGGATAATATGAAATTGTCATTTCACATTATCCCTACAGAATGAGATGTATTAAGAAGAGTGTAATTCCTGTTCCAGTGGAATAAATCTGGCTTTACAGATGTGTCACATTATCCCTTCAGAATGAGATGTATTAAGAAGAGTGCAATTCCTGTTCAAGTGGAATAAATCTGGCTTTACAGATGTGTTCATGTCTTGACATTTTACAGTTTAACAATATGCACAATGTATACAAGGACAAAAGAGTACAAATGGTATAAAAATAGTTCATACAAACAATTCTTAACAATTCTAATACTTAAAGGCATTCTTTAGATTGTTTCATTATGTCTTTTTAAATTCATTCATTACCAACGAAAACAAATAGCCTCATCCACTTCATCAGGCTTGCTCTCAAGCAAGACCAGTTTGTCCAGCGAGGGATTATCCTCCACAGGCTTAAATCCCAGGAATTTACCTGTGTACAGAGATGACTCAAACGTATACATGGCTGTAGATCCTGAGATTCCCGTTAAGTAGAACAGGGCCTTGTGTGCAGTTTCATTAATTTTGTTTGGAAGATCCTGTAGGAAAACATGGTTACCCTGTGTCATATGTACAACATTACTGTTAAACATATGTGATAAAGCATATTCCATTAGGATTATGAATGAAAACTTTCTAACAATCCTCTGAACAAGTAGTCTGACCCTGCACATGCAGACATGCCTATTCCTGTCAAACACACTGTACATGGATATGTTACAGTTGCCTTTAAATTTAACATACAGCACAAAGTATATGTCTTGAGTGCAGTTTTGCTGTGGTTATTCTAGCCCCAAAATGAAGGGACCAGTATGATGCAGACAGATTTTTGATGCCCCTACCTTAATTTCTCTAACTGGTAGATATAACACACACTATAAATTACTGCTTTATTCTCACCATTGCTTCAGGATATATTTCCTGCCTGTCGCTGCAGCAAGCCACCATCTTTTTGCCATCTTTATCGGCGTACAGCATGACCGGCCTGCCCTTCCCTACCGCTTTAGAAATACGTGAATCTTCCTTGTAAATCTGGATGTTGAATTTGCAGTCTAAAAAGCAAACATGACAAGCACAGAGAAAGAGCAGCATGTCACTAAATATTAAAGGATGTGACAACAGTGTGGCAATTTTAATGTTTTTATGAATGCTGTCTTGGTGTGACCACCACAGTCCGCTGTCTGTACATCTGCGTTTATGAAGTTTGTAGCATATAGCCGCATCAGATATGAGTTTTTGCACTAACGCAAGATATCTGGCATACACTGATTAGCCAGAACACCCTTGTTTAATACGCTGTTGGAACATTATTTGCATGTGGCATGGATTCCACAAGACTACTGGAGGTGCCCTGTGATGTCTTGACACTGAGACATGAGTAGTAATGTAAGTAGTAAGGTAGAGCTGCTGCTGAGCCACTGCTTGTTCCATCACATCCCCACTGTCAGTATATACTTACTGTAGAACTGCTGACCAGGATCATTCCACAAGCCTTCCTGTGTGTGAGCTGCTCCGAACCATAATGAGTTGGCCCTGGTCAGAGTTTCTCAGGTTGTCACACAAGCTCATTTCTGCCACATCCAGCGCACTCAAATGTGTACTATTTTCATACCATCTAATTTCTCAAACCATGACACCTCGCAGCACCGCTGCATGCTACCAGAGTATCAGTGTCATTTGCTTCATCTGTAAGCGGCCATAATGTTTTGGCTCATCTCTGTATGTTTATATATATATATATATATCTATATCCAATGTCTGTGCAGGAAATTCATGCATGTCAAAGGGGGACTTCTATACTCTTGGCACACACAGGTGCCTCACCACATATAAGAGCAATTTTTGTAGCCCAGGTTGGCACAATTTGCCACAAATGTTCAGCAACATGTCAATTAATAAAAAATACCACATATGGTTTTACTAGACTGACCTCTTTCTTTTCTAGGTAAGTATTGTCCTTGAAATTCTTCTTCATTTAAAACCAGAAATTTGTTGTTCTTGCTTTGGATCACGCATTGCAAGTATGGACAAGAAATGCAGAAAGCGTCTCCATCTGCATCTGAATATTTGAGAAAAAATATGTGAAATCATAACAACAAGTAACATCATGCACCTGCAATCACAACTTGTATATTCTACCACAAATGGTGGATAAGGGAGGAAAGCATGAAACTGAGGAAATAAATTTGCCACAAATGTATTGCCTGGACTGTGTGTTAAAAAAAGGAAAACAATATAAGCATCGCCTTACCTGAATTATCACCTTCAACTACAGAGCAGTAGATGAGAAGATTTCAGGATTTATGTACCAACATTAAAAAAGAATATGGATTATATTAAAATTATAATAAATACAATGTCGTGTATGTTATGCTAAATACAATAATGGCAATTTGAAATTGTGTTTACCATCAAAGTAGAAGCCTTTCTCACATGCACCAAAAAATGTAACAGAGGAGCAGCCACAGGAAGCCATCAGGAAGACCTGAAAAAAACAAATCTTTTTTAGGTTATTTGGGAGGTTCCAATCCCCAAAAAACTGGCAGTACCTCTCACCCTCTATACACTCTCAGTTAGCTTTACACATCCACATACAGACAGGTGAAAAATGAAAGGTCAACCCAAACCCAACATAAAGAGTCTCAATGAGGTGCTGGGCCACCATGTGCACCTTGGTATTGACTCTCCAAGTCTCTGAACTCTACTGGAGGGATGAACACCATTCTTCCAAAGATGTTCCCTCTGGGGTGTTTTGATGATGGTGGTGGAGATGCTGTCTAACAGCTCCCATAGGTGTTCAACTGGGTTGAGATCTGCTGACTATGAAGGCCACAGCATGTATTTTACATCATTTTCATACTCATCAAACTGTTCAGTGAGCCTTTGTGCCCTGTGGATGGGGGCACTGTTGTCCTGGAAGAGACAACTCCCATCAGGAGAATAATGGTTCATCACAGGATAAAGGGATCACTCTGAACCAAGGGCATAGGTTTGGTCTCAACATTGGTAGGGACTAACATAACACCCCACCACCACCACCACCACACTGAACCCTCACCAGCCTGCTCTGCTTCTGGCATACAAACTAAGTCATTTCCATTTTGATTATAAAAAAAAGAGCATGTAGTTTGTTGTGTACATTACTACGAAACAAAAGAAGCGTCCTTTGTATTTGAGCAACGTTTCACTATTGGTCCGTAAACTTTGAATCTGTTAAAATCTTTCCAACTTTACCGAAGTCAGCCACTAGGTCAGGCACATCGGAATGATCTAACATGACTTCACTGTGCGCGGGTTTGCTCAAATATTGTTAGGGACATGTCCCTATACCATCCAAACTGCGCCCTTGCTCAGAACAACACACGCACCCATTTTGGTAACACATTAGTGATGTTAAATTCGTGAATGATCCGATTCAATTCCACGGCTCCTTGGTACTAACGAAGAGAGCCGCACTGTGTTCACTGCATTTTAAAGCTAGAGAGCGTAGTGGTGGTCGAGTGAGGTAGAGAGTGAATGAAGAGAGGGAGCGGCGCCAGCAAAACAAAGCACTGACTCGGAGAAATAAAGGTCGTTTTCTGAATGGTTTCTCTCTAAAGCACAAAAACACAACCCTACTTGAAGGATTTTATGTAGGTGCTTTGCCCTGTACCTCATGTGCGTGTAGCTACAACAGGGCGTCGGTCAAACAGACGGGGACAAAGACCTGATACTGGATGCACTCCTGCATTTAGATCTCACCACAAACGTATTTAAACAATAAATGAAAGGAAGAATGTGAACGGCTCTATGAAAGGAACTGATCACAAGATTCGGTCTTGAACTGGTGTTGTGTCGAAAAGTATTCCCCCACCGAAGTGTGTTTCCCCTGTCAACACTCGGTTTCGCATACCGCCCTCAGTGGCTGCGGCTAGGATAACATAGGAGCTCGTTTTAGGGGAAACCCGTCTCGATGGGGAAACAGATTTCGACACAACACCGACTCTTATTCCCATCAAAACCTTCAAATTAAACTTGTGTAAGTTATCCTTTTTCCTCCCTGTAGCTGTGAACTTACGAAGCTTACTCAAAGTCTGGTCGTCTCTGAAGTTCAAGAAAATGTTAGTAGGTTTACATTACCCGCTGTGAGACTCTGGTCCACCGTTCAGATTGAATGTCTGCAGACAGTGACTAATACACGACATTGTCTCATGCCTTGGGTCTGTATGGGGCGGGGCCGGCGGGGACCTGGGGGGGACACCCGGCCCAGACGACCGCCTCCCTGCCGACAACAGGCAGAAGTGAAAGTGCCAATGGTTTGGTTTTGCAAACGAAGCTGGGGAGGGGGGGGGGGGGCTAC